AGATAGATAGATAGATAGATAGATAGATAGATAGATAGATAGATAGATAGATAGATAGATAGATAGATAGATAGATAGATAGATAGATAGAGTTTGAAATTAAACATAAAAATTACTATTTTAACTGTATTAAATGGTGCAGTTTGAAGGCGTTTCGTAATTTTTAGAGTGTGTCTATAAAGCTGAAACGTGGGTACACACTCAATGTAAACAAAGTAGTGAAGCTGTCAAAAAGGAAGCGAATCACCTGAGACTCTGTGTCGACAGATGAGAAATACTGAAGTATTGCACCCTATCTTGTTTTGAGAAAAAAAWTGCACACACCCAATTTGTATTCAGTTGCATGTTATTATAAAAAAGTCACACGTGATTTTTTTTCCCCATGGTTTGTCTGAAAACACATGGAAATAACGAGGAGCATTTTCTCGAAATAACGAGTTAATTTCCAGATGGTTTTCCTCATGTTGTGCATCYTTCAGTAACCATGGAGACTACCTGGTCCCCTCAGGTGGTCATCGATGAGGTTGACTTTTTAATTAATCATTTTATTTATTTACCTTTATTTAACCAGGTAAATCCCACTGTGATCGCAGATCTTTTTTTATATGGGCAGCCTGGGCCTGAAGGCAACCTAGTGTACATAATTTTGGGGGACATAAGTCGTTATCACGAGAAAAGCATGGAAAAAAATATATGCGGAAAACATCCACTCTCGGCTTCCGTAGTGCACATTATATCCTATAATGCATTTTAATATTTAAATAACTAAGCAAAACAGTTGTATAACAGCGCCTCTACTGGTGTGGAGTGCAAGATGAACTGTTCACCAGTTAAAGAATCCATCCATCCATTTATGCACATTGTATACTTGTTGTTTTGGATAAAAGATAAAATAGTGATGCACCGGAGCAGTCTAACTATTGTACATTTTGGGATTTTTGGAATTAATGATTTTACATTGTAGAGGTCAGTTACTATGCAAACTATCATAATCCTGGCATTGACGATTAGACCTGCTGTTAACAAATATGGTGCATTCAAACAAGCATAGCATCTAGGAAAAGATGTTTAGGTGGGAAAATAAAAGCTGCTAAATGCGAAAGAAAAAAGAAAGATAGAATATGACAACTGCTAAGAATAAATGACAGGGAAAAGACAGTGCAATGCACTCAATCAGAGCTGCAGACCTTGCAGTCAAATCAACCAAGAGAGAAACACTAGCAGCCTCTAAATGTTTGGGATAATTCAACCTTAGCTATATTTATCATAAAGAATGGTATTAGTCTTAAAAGTAGACAAGGTGTTTACCTAATGGACAGAAACTGGAAAGCTCTGTTTCCCACTCAACATTTAGAAACCCAAATGCAGCTGTTTTTAGCTGTGCTCATGGAATATTGAATAATGTGCATAATCATTTTTTTTTGAACAAGTAAATATAAATGAAATGAATCAAGATGGGMTTTTTTTAAATCAACTGCCCAACCACCAGGTGGTGCATGTAACAGAAGTTTGCTGCAAAAATTACATCATGACATTTGACATTTGTCCTGACAGCCACCAAAAAATGTACTCAGACAATAATCCTGAAACCAGTTTAAATTCCAGTTTAACATTATTTACTCAATATTGCACATAATGATGTAGGTAACTGATTCATATAAGTTACTTATTACTGTTTTTAATCTTCAGTTATATTTCTGCACAAATCATATATTATGTATGATATCATGTAGATTGTGTGTGTGTGTGTGTGTGTGTGTGTGTGTGTGTGTGTGTGTGTGTGT